TCTTGTGTTACACTAGTGGAAATTCGGGATTTTTTTATATATTTCTTTTAGGATTAAGAACGTAAAACTTGTATACTATTAAAATATGGATTATTAGCTAAGATTTTATGCTATTCTAATTGTTATAACGTAAACAAAAAGTAGTTTAATAAAATTTTGAATGTAAGACACTAAAACCTTGTGTCATGCGCAGTAAAGGGTACCAGGGCCAATAGGGTTAATGCTTTGGAGTAGATTTATTCTGGATAAATGTGTATCAAATCTCTAGTACTCAGAAATAATGCTATATTTAGTATTTCACTATGTATGTCTGCTAAATAACTAGCTAAGTATAAAGAAAAAAGACACACCTAAAAATCATACTTTAATAGCATTTGATAGAATAAAGAAGTTATTTTGTTGTTTCTGCTTTCACTTTTGTACTAGTTTCACATTTATATGTATAATGTTTAAAAACCTCTGATGTTAGACTAAAGAATATTAACCCCCTTTGTAGTAGTTTATTTTGAATTAACTTACTAAACTCCAGATCAATGATTAGTCTTCGGTAGATGTACTTTAAATAATTCTTCTACTTCAATAAATGATTTAATTTCTTCCATCTCCTCCAAAAGTAAGATGTGTTAGTACAACATATGAGGTTAGTCACATTTCAGAATTATATATACATTTCTTATTTTCAAGAATTTAAATATGAACTTTTTTTCAAAATAGACTAATTTCTGAATTTGGTTATTACAATTCATTTACCATAACTGCATGTTTGACATGTTTTCATTGTTCTCAGTATGTTTATTTGTCCAGTGAATGTTTCCAGATGAGAAAAGACATAATATTTAATTATTAAAAAGTGGATACTATCAGCTATGTCATTGTTTAAGAAAAATGTATGACCACCTTGAAGTACTTGTGTAAGTTGAATTGTATGGCACAGTAATTTTTACTTTTTCTTCACTTTTATTTAAAATTCTTCATTTTTTGTTTAGACAAGAACACCAATTCTTCCATCAGGGCATTTCATCAAAAACTATTTTATATCCTTCTGTGAAGATCCTATCATTAAAATTTCAGAAAAGTACAAGGAAGAAAAGAAAGACTCTCAAAATCCAAAGGAACTTAGGTAAATTAATCTTGTTCTTGTTAAGTTTTTTTATATTATAAAACATGTTTCTGAAATATATCATTTTAAATGAAGAGAAATACATTCAGAGATTGTGTTTGGCAGATAAAAAAAGAAAGGGTTTCAATAAATTTTAGTTGTTATGCTATTAGAGAACATGTATCATTATTGTATTTAACCTTCAGTTTTTAAATAACATTATCAGGAAGAACTATATATTATGTAAAAGATGTTATTAATCTATATGTAGGACTACTAAGAAATTACATTATGTAAAAAAATTATTCTACTAATGATATATAAAAAATATTTTAAGGAAAAAAAAAAGCAAACATGATGTATCAGTGTATACAGATTTTGACACTTGCATATCATAATTGGCACGAAGTGCTTTAAGAAAGTGTCATATATGGTGGAGTGACAGAAAATCTTTTCAATTTGTATAATTTTGATCAGCAAAAAAAAAACTTTTGAGACCATCATATATAGCTAGTTAACCCTTTTGAGATGGGTCACAGTTGTAAGGCCATGTCATCTCATTTGTTGACTCACATTCAAAATTTTATTGAACTACTATTTCATGAATTTATGTTTATAAGTTTG